AAACCGAAAAACCGAACGAAACCGCATTTTAGAAACCGTCGGTTTGGTGCCGCGTGGACCTGTCAACGAAATGGTTCTGAACCAAACCAAACCGGTCAAAAATGGTTTGGTTTAGGTTTGAGAAATTTAATTACGATTTAAAACCAAACGGGACCGGCGAAAAAATATATAAAAATAAAAAAATAAAAAAAAAGTTATTTTTTTTTTGAAAATTCATCCAAATTTGTAAAATTCAATAGTTTTGTCATTTGTGGGTATTTTTGTCAATTTATAATTTTTTATTACAATACACCCAAGTCTCAACCCGACCTGCCTAGCCTAATTAAAAGAAGAAAATGGGATCACCCACCTAGCCTAACTAAAAAAAGAAAAATTGTCAATTTATAATTTTTTATTACTACCCACCCAAGTCTCAACCCGACCTGCCTAGCCTAATTAAAAAAAGAAAATGGGCTAAAAGCCTGGCCTCAAACTCAAATTAGGAAAAGAACACAACCCATTGGCCATTGAATTGAAAAAAAAAGGGACCCTAATTTTCCATTCCTCTCTCTCAACTCTCAAGCTTGCTGCTCGCCGATCGCCCACTCGCTGCTCATCGCTCAGTCCGTCCTCCCCAGTTTGCCAGCTTTCCTTACATCGTCGACACCTTCCAATTTTCAGTGACGGTTGGTGTACTAGTTCGCGATTCTTGGTAGCCTGGTAAATTGTCAATTTCCTTCAAGAAATTGTGGGTTTTGTCATGAAATTCAAAGGTGCCATGTCCCTATGTGATTTTAGTCCCACTTTGCATTTTTGGGTTTGTCTCTGTAAAACTTTCCATGTCCATTTTTATGTGCTTACATATTGATTCTTGAAAATACCTAAAAATCCCCAAATTGTGGAACTATATGACTACGTGAGTTGATTCTTGAAAGCTTTGTGATCTTGATTCTTGAAATGAACATGGAAATGAACTGCTCGTCTGCTCCAGCAAGCTTTCATGTCCTTGCTTTTAAAATTTAAATAATTTTGCAGTAATCTTTTGTTGTACAGAATCACAAATATGGATCATATTGACCTTTCTCAAGAGAAAATTATGTTGAGCCAAATGAAGTTGTTGATAGTGTAGAAGTTGATCAAAGTGCAGATTCCACTAAGGGAAAAAAGGAGCTAAAAGATTTGATATTTGGGATCATTTTAAGCTACATGATGAAAAGGCAGAGTATATTTACTGTGGGCAACAGTATA